TCATTTAAGGTAAGTGCTGACATTAACATTGGGGGAGGAAAAAAAAAATACTTTAAAGCCACTTTAAACTTCAGTCAAAGAACTAATAACGCACTGTGTGTATGTTTATTACTATTTTTTAAAAACCTTTTTACTTGCCAGAAGGTTTGTAATTTTGTCAAAGAAGAATGTAGTCAACCTTTGCAGTGGGGCTTCCCCCGCACTGCAAGGGTTAAGTGCTCGTTTTTGTCTAGGCGCTAAAAAAGTGGTGAGGGGAAATCTTCCGATTAGGACAAATATTCAGATGACAACTGAGATGGGAAACCTCTCACTTCCTGTTGTGTCTCAAACACACGAAGTGGGGGGAATTTTCCCCAGAAGGACACAGCCAGCAAAATAACCCGACAGGTCTTTTAACCCTTTTTTACTATACCCCCCCAAAAAAAATGGTTTTGGCTGTACATAAACTTTAATTAACAAATTAACTGTATTAAAGGTTTTTTTTTTCTCGTGTATACTTGGAGTTTAGATTTAGAAGAGTATTCCTGTCAAATATTTGATAACACCCTTTAGTTATGTGTGCCTTCAGAAGTCATGAAATAATTTTTATTTTTAGTAGTGTTATTATATGAATTCTGTGTTTCCAACGGGTTGCCACACACCTGCCAAAAGTTAAATTCATGTATGAAAGCACTTGCTAAACAAAGGGATTGAACGAGGAGGTTCTTGAGCTCACAGAAAGATCTAAAGTGGGTATCACCAGTGTGGTGATGTGCAATAATGATCCAGAAAATAGACAGGAGGCAGACAACACAAAATGCAAGCCCTGAAAAAGCATTGCTACTACTCTTATGTAAACATTTAGCTGAGCAGAGGTGCATGGATGCCAGGAGTTAGTGAATCACTTTGCAGACAATTTGATAGACTATATATGCTACTACTTTCTAGTTTTGGCATAGACTCTCTTTATATTTAGCCATGCCTATTTAGCACTATGTCAAAGATATTTAATAAAAGTGAACACAAAAACTCCTTCCTTTCTTGATTGTACATCACAGGACACAGGCAGTTAAATTCTTTAACCACTGGGTTATGCAGCTACCTTCGGTTGATTGGACACTGGCAAATCAATCAAAGCTGAAGGACAGCCCTGCATAACCCCTCCCATGGCCAGCCTGTCTTTTTTTGCCTTAGTTTTGTTTCCTAGTGCCTTTAGGTGATGGACCTCCTGCTCTGTCAATTTCCTCCATTCAGCTGGGAGATTTCCTGGCCCTGATAGACATTAAGGATGCATATCCCCATTTTTCCTGCTCACTTTGTTTTGCAGTGGGTTTCCAGCATTTCCAATTTGTTGTTCCCTATACAGCTTTGGATGGATCCTGAACCTCCAGGAACTCGCGCTGAAGCACTCGCAACACTTGGAATGCCTAGGCCGTAATGTCCCAGTTCTTCCTGCCACAGGAGAACTCTATCCACTTGCACATTCAAAGTAAAGGGGTTGTTTAACCATTTTGTTTTGCATGAAGGTTTTGGGCCTAATGGTAGCCTCCTTCCAGGCAGCTAACCTATACTCAGTTTCACTCTAGGCTGTTGCAGCTTAACATCCTAGGTGCGAGGGACAAACAGGTTTGATACCGAAATCTCATTTGCTTGTCCAGCAAGGCCATATTGTGGTGAATATCCAGTCTAGCGAAGGAGTAGGGGAAGCCTTTCCTACTGATGTCTTAGAAGGTGCTCACAATCGATGCCAGCCCTGTTTAGTTGGGGTGAAGTCCTAGAGAGGTTCTTGATCCAGGTGACTAGGTTGTCAGAGGAATTGTGACTCCTGGTAAACATCCTGGAGCTCAGAGTGATTCGGTTGTATCAGTGCTGGATCTACCGAATTGCACGGTCATCTGATAAGGGTTTACTTAAACAGCACTACACCCATGGCCTAGGTCAGTCATCAAGGAGGCACCAGAAGTCATGTGGCTCCAAGATTCTGGCTTGGGAGGAGCTTCACATTCCAACCCAATCTACCATACACATTCCAGGCATGGGAAATTGGCTACTGCCTTAGTTGTCAGCATCTGCACCTCAGGGAGTGGTACCCCAATCCGGTGTTTTGAGCCTTTTGTTACAGGCGGCAGGACGTTGGATCTTCTAGCGCTCAGGTTTACTAACAAGCTGGATAGGTTTTTCATCCGGACCAGGGATTCCAGAGCCTTACTGGTGGATGCCTTGATGACTTTGTAGGATTAGTTAAAACTGATCTATGGATTTCCTCCTCTGAAACTCTTGCCTCGCCTCCTTTTCTGGATTGAGGCAGAGGGCATTCCTGGTATACGGCAGACTTTGTGCCAGACCTACTGTCACATGGACCAGTATTCTACTTTGCTTCTCAGTCGCTGGTTTTTACGGCATGTCTGTTGAAGCCCAAGTCCTGAGGGACAGATGCCTTTTGGACGCTGTCTACACTCCTCAGACTTGGAAGTTGAACACTTCTTACAAGGAAAATGGGGAACCTATCAAGACTCTCTTGTAATGTTTAACATACATTTTTATATTAATAATTTGCCTTTATAAGGTTTTCTGGTGTCAAAAAAAACTGAAGGAAAAAAAACAAAACAGGTTCCCACTTCTCATGGCATCTTCAGAAAACCTTCAGGCAAAATAACAATGAAATATTTGTTTATACAAAAACATTTATTGATATATCTGATACATATAACTACAACGCCCAAAACAAAATATCCCCATAATAATCTAATAAATACAACCATAAAAAACCCAGAATGTGGTCCCACAATTGTCTTTCATGTCTAAAATATAGTACCCAAGCCTGGGACATGAGTTGATTATTCTAGGCTGGCCTCCGCATTAATTGCAGATCATTCAACGGTTTGCATTGTGTCAAAATCTAGTTATTGTAAATAGGGGTAATTAATGATCTCCTTTTGAGATAATGCATGATTCCTAACTGGTACAGGTGTTCCAGTGTCCTCAAAGATCCAGAATTAACTTGCTGAACATCTTCAAGTACTGCTTTACTCTTGTCATGATGTTACTGCAGCACCAGTGTGGTGAATTGCACTCTTCCTGGTGAAGACCTTTGTGCAGGGGGTGGCAAATGATATTCCCCTTTACATTCTCCAGTGACTCCTTGGGACCTCAATCTGGTTCTGTCAACTCTTCTGACACTAATATCAAATGTAGGTACTTATACTGCTTGCATTTAACAATATATTTAATAATGTGTTAATACAGAGCTGCATTAATTTATGTAAATTATACTTAAAGTGGAACTTTACCCCCTTTGACTAACAATCCCATCAGCTTACAGCTCTGCATGCTGATATGAAATCATCTTACATTCATTAGCTAAACAAGCATATTTTTATTTTACTTTTTTTTTCCATTTCCTGGTCCACTTTGGCACAAATGATGTAATTGTGCCCAAGCGTTGCATCCTGGGAAGGTTATATCAGCAGTGCATTGGTGGGAAATCTCATCTGTAATCTCAGGGAAAGGCATTTTCCTCCCCTGAGATGATGTACATGGTCACATGTCCTAGTCACATGTGCCAGAGTTCCAGGAAGTAAAGGTAGATCTAGTAACCTGCCCTTAGTTAAAATGGCCACTGTGAAAAGAATGGGGAGGGGGGAAAAAAATAAGGCAAGCAAAAAATAAAAAGCCAGCAATTATCTAGAAGTATGTGCTTGTAGATTGTCATTACTAAACATTTCTTAAGGTGCCTTTGTTGTTATGTTGAACATATGGGTAAAGTTTCTCTTTAAGTTAAAGTGACATTAAAGGATAACAAAATGTTTTCCTCCCCCCATGTTAATGTCAGCACTTACCTTAAATGATGTATCTTAATCCGATCTTCTTCTTTCCCCATGTTTTCATCTGTCCCTCCAGCGGTACGGCGGCTCTCCAATCCAGCGCTGGCTCCTCTCTGCTAGCAGGCACTTCTGATCCAGCGGTGTCTGCATGCGGGTGCACGCGTCCATAGACTTACCTTGCGTCTCTGCTCGTCTCCCATCCGAGAATCCGAACTGCGCATATGCCCGCCCCAAGATGCTTTGCGGCCGCCGGAGCATTTTCGCTTTCTCGGTCGGGAGCGCGCAGCCGAAACAAGGTAAGTGTTAAGCGCTGTTAAAGCGGGGTTTTTTTTCTTTTTTTAAAACTTTTTGCCTATATCTACTGCTTGATAGCAGTAGATATAGGCAAAAAAACAGGAGGGTTTAGAACCACTTTAAGCTTTAAAACGAAAATTAGGAACTGGACGAGGTCAGGCAATTCATGCCACTCATACTGAAGCAGATTTCTTTTCACTGTTACTTTTTACTTAAACTTTACAACACGCACAGGGACCATGGGGAACAAAAGTAGCCAGACTGCAGAAGGAAGGACGGTGTCAGCACCAATTCAGAGATGATTTGAGACGCTACAGCCGAGTGATGCACAAATAAGATACATTTTAGTTATTAGGTCAGGTACTTGAATTCATTTTTAAGATTTAACTCCTGAGTTTAGTGTCCCTTTAAGTTTGTGAAACATCCCTTTCTTTAGTACCTGAAATAACCTTGTATGCAAATTAAAATGGGAACAAGGCCCATTGTAATATTTACTAATGTAAATGCTGCATTTTATTTGACTATTTTGTCTTCTGTTTCTTAATTTCATTATTCATTTTAACCTTATCAATGCTGTAATCAATACTAAGTTTGACTTGTATGTTGAATATAACACAAAAAATGAAAACAGTATTCAGTAACTTTGACAACTTGAGGGTTCTTGAGGTTACAATAATACAGTGTGTGTGTGTGTGTGTGTGTATCTAATAAACTCTGTTCTATTTATTTTATGCCAATATAAACAATAGAAAAACTATTACGTATGTCTCGTGACCTTCTCAACTGAAATTAAATGCTTGCATTTCCTTTCCAGTATTTATAGAAGAATTGGTTTACATTAAAGGCAGCCTCCTCAGTGCCTTGTTAAAATACTTTAAAGCAATTGCTGTTATTACTCCACAGGAGAATGACTCAGGAACTCTGGACACTGTTGGAGCAATAGTTGTTGACCAAGATGGAAACGTAGCTGCTGCTGTCTCCAGCGGTGGACTAGCCATGAAACATCCTGGAAGAGTTGGCCAGGTGAATATCCTTTTATGTAAAATATGACTCATATATTTGATATGGTAAATTAGTTGCGCTTGATCTATAATGAAGTTGCGCTTCATGGATAATGTCGTTCTTGGTTTATTTTATATATTTTACTGAACCTCCCCCCCCTTCTTTTAACTACTTCAACAGCAGGGGTTAAATAACCAAATCACTTTGGTACCTGGGATCTGGTAAATCGACTATGTTTTAACAGCCAGTTATTTCAAAAAACACTGCTACATTGGTTTCAATATGAAGAGCAGCTCACAGCCAGTAAAGTTAGTCAGTAAATTGGTAATGTAGTGCAATTCAGAACAAAGCAACTGTGCGAAAGCCAAAACATTCTCTCTTACAAGGCATGACCTGTTTATTAAAAAGAAAAAAAGTTTGGACATATTTAGCAGGCTTTGTGGCTGTGTTTTTTTCATTTGGATTTGTTTTCACGAAATGCATCCTCTTGTTAACCGATTCAGTGCTTCCCAATATCAACTTCAGTTTTTAGTTTCTGTAGGTGAGGCTACAGTGGGACAGGGGTTGTTGCTTGTATTTGCAAACACACTATCATTTCTTGGCCATTTAGAAGGTGATGATACTGACAACTATATGGATTGACTAGATGCCTTGACTAGATGCAGGTCCAGACCCTAAATGTCATGATAAATGATTAGAGCCAATAAGCAGGTAGGCTCTTGAAATCACTAGTTAATCTTTTACGTGCTTTCCTAGCAACAACAGGACAGTTGCTGTACAGGCCTAAAAAGAGGCAGCTAGAATTTAGCAATAGCAGCCCCTGTATGTATCTCTGTTCAGGTTTCCCTTAAAGGGGACCTGTTCTTAAAGGGGTCCTAAACCCTCCCGTTTTTCCATAGAAACACAAATGTTGATCACTTAATTTGGGCTCTTATTCCCTTCAGTCCCTTTAGACTAGTTGATTCCTTTCAACCTTTAATGTTGTTATGGGAGGAGTGAATCAGTTACAACCTATAGAGCTGTGGGGTACAGGCGCCAAGTTGAAGAGTAGGTTTGGATACCCATTCACTGAGCTGCCAGGCAGCAGCTTCTGTGTAAGAAGGTGGGTATTTTTGACTCTTAAAGGCTAAGTTCCCCTTTTGATTAAAAAAAAATCACTATGCATTTTAGGGACCCTATTTTTTAAGCTTCTAAATACCATACCTGTAGGCTAGTGCCCCCACAGCCTGTCTGCAAAACTCCCATTGCTAACGATCTTATGTCCTACCTAATATCAGGGACACAAAATAGCATACCCAAGAATGCTCTTCCTTTTTGAAGTCACGTCATGTGCAGTGTGCTCTTTCTCACTGTAGCAGCACCGGTTCTTCCATTTTCTAAACCACCTCATACCCAGTACACACATTCTGTAGCTTGAGCACCTGTGCTGACAGGGAATGTGGAAGAGCCGCTGCTGCTACAATGAGAGCGCACACTGCTTTCAGATAAGATAGAGCATGCACTCCCCAGTTGTGCAGACATTTTTTTGTGTCCCTGATATTAGGCAGGATTTCTGGCAATGGGAGCTTTGCAGAGCGTGTGCCGCAAAAGGCCTACAGGTATAGTATTCAAACAAAGCTACAGTTTTAGAAGCTGAACAGTGTTTTGTAACCTACTAGGGACCTTAGACTGCATAGTGATTTTTTTTTAAAGAAAAGTGAACTTCACCTTTAAGAATGGAGCATATCCATTCTTGAATCCATCTGATCCAGGAAGGTACCTTGATCAGATGGATTCACTCTGACTTATAAGACCTTCCAGGATGTTCTACAGCAGGGGCGCCCACAATTTTTTGTCTGGAGATCTACTTTTCAAATGACGAGCTCAATGAGATCTACCAACGAAAAAACACCTGCATTCAGGGGCGGGGGGAGAGGGCATGGCTGTGCATTGAAGTCAATCAGCTGATCGCTCCAGTGTTTGTCCTGCACAGAGGATCGGCACATATCACTAATATGTACTGATCCTCTGCCGCTCGGCCATGCACACAGGGGGGCTCAGCTTCTTCTCTGGATCCCCCTGCTCTCCTAGGGCAGAGGCATCAGGGACAGCGGAGGAAGGAGCACGGTGAGGAGAGAGCCGCCGGCTGTCAGATCCTGGCCAAACGTCTCTCTCTCTCTCCCCACTGCTCGGCCTTCTATGAAAGCGGCTCCCCCCTCGCCGCCGGCCGCAGTGCTTCTTTCACTTCTCTTCGGATCCCCGCTGCATACAGAGACCCAGGACATCTCGATCTACCAGTGATCGCATAGCGATCACTGGTATATCGCGATCGACCTTATGGGCACCCCTGTTCTGCCGTCTCCTTTTCTGACGGCGTATAATTACATTTTAGATGGTTGTCCTCTTCCTGCGGACTCCTTTGTTTTGGAAGAGATCAGACCCACCTATTCTTTTGCTTTGGTTGTCCAAAGTCAACAGGATTAAAACCATGGAGAACTTACTGGTGCGCTCCACCATCGGAAGGAGAAGTTACACAGAATCTGCTTCCTTTTCTAAGGCATACAGCTCCCTTATGGGATCCCAAATAGGTTGCTTTCCTTGCTGGATTGCTTGTTTGCTTCTCCTTTTTTTGGCTCTTGTGCTTCTGGTGTGATGGGACCATCCCACCCCCCTCAATTTTTTTTTTACTATGTCCTCTTTTCTTTCTTTTCTCTTGCACTCGTGTATTTTCTCATCTGCCTCAGGAATTTTTATTGAACTTGCTCATTTACTCTCAGGTTGAGGGTATAATATGGCATTGGTAAAAGAACAAATGGCTGCTGGTTTCCATTTCTCTGAACAAAAAAGCTTTACCTTTTTAAACGTTGTTTCCTTTTTGTACTACAAACAATAACTGTATATCCCCACTTTTTAATGCCACTATTGCATACTGTATTTGTATTTTATCCCTATTCTACGTAAAACAAAAAATTGAGCATATTCAGTATTACATATAAATGGGGAGCCCAAAAGTTTGCCAAAAATGCGGGGAAAAAATCAGAATGCCAAGAACAAAAAGTTAAGAAAAAATAGTAATGAATAATTAATAAAACCCTATTGAACAGTAATAGTATTAGCTTATTTAACTAATATAATACAGAAAAGTTAAGCAAACAACTTAATCATTATTAGCATTATCAATGTAATGCAGTGATTATACTGAATTATGATTTTGTAATGGGTGCAATGGTTTACTGTAATTTTGACTAGGCCAGTATTGCCAATCCGCTGATGCTTCCTTAATAGAAGTGTGATCCCAAACCACAGTCTCTGTGTGGTCAGTTGATATCTTATGAGGTTGTGCTGGGAGCTCCTGACAGAAACCAGTGATGTAGTGGCCAGGGAAAGGAAGCTGCAGCAGGTAGCCGGAGGTGCATCTGTGAATACAAAAAAGATTGCCTGCAGAGGGTAGTAAATACAGTTCAAGGACTTTACAATGAAGTGCTCAGCTAGAGATATGATGTGTTCCATGGTCTCTTTAAAGCAAAGTATGTTAAAATTGCTTATTATTATCTGTGTTTTTAAATATTAGATTCAGTCTGTTTTTGTTTTGTATTTCATAAGTTCTTTTTTGAGGAATGTTACTGTTTTTCTTGATCATTGTAATTTGTATGTCTAAAGTAATAAGCCATGACAAGAATTACATGATGTATGATGTCTTGTACAGTATACACTGCACAAGTGAAATCTGATGCTCCGGGGACAAAACTCCCTCTAGTGGCTCCAAGTATTTGTCTGTGCAATGAAGATTCAGCGAAATCTTGTTGTGGAGCCGTTATCTTTTATATTAAAACCTTGAGCAGTAATGCTTTGAGGTGCTCCTAAAACACTGCAGTGTTAATGTACATTTGTAATTACTGTAATGACAGCCTGAACAAAAGAATAACACTGAGAAAGACGGTTCCAAAAAAAGAGCCAACATGATGCATAAAAAATAAAATTATTCCTAAAAATTAATTCAGGGGATACAGCTGCCTGCTCATGGTGTCCCATTTTATACAGCTCCATGGTGGTCCCATTTTACGGCATGCATATCTGTAATCTACCAGATGACCCTGAAGCTAAGGTGGTAAACATTTCTGAAGTATAACCTAAAATTTTTCTGTTTGTTAAAAGGGACCGTGAGAACACACACACACACACACACCTCCAAATCATTGGTTTCAGGTGTTCCAGTCACTTCCCTGGCCACAGCTGTATAAAATAGAGCACCTAGGCATGCAGACTGCTTCTACAAACATTTATGAAATAATGGGTCGCTCTCAGGAGCTCAGTGAATTCAAGTGTGGTACCGTGATAGGTTGCCACCTGTGCAATAAGTCCATCCGTGAACTTTCCTTGCTACTAAATATTCCTCGGTCAACTGGAATGTTGCATTCTGAGGAGACTGAGGAAATGCTTCCTCCTGGCTACAGCAGACCGATGGCATCTCAGCCTAGACAAAGTAGATAGAGTGGCCTGACCTGGAGCTCGAGAACTGCCTTGTAATAATAGAAAGGACTAGGGCTGCAACAACTAATCGACATAATCGATTATAATCGATTATTGAAAAAGTTGTCAACTTTTTCAATAATCGATTAGCGTGCGGGTCCGTCGGTTCCAGTTGGAGTCCATCGTGTCCGTGGTGGCATGGCTCCGTCAGGGGGATCTGCTGGCCTCCATCGATATCCGGGATGCATACCTTCATGTACCCATAACAACCGTTTTGAAAAGCTATGTATATTGTGACATTTAATGCGGAGGTGCTGAAAAGGCCACATATTATTTACAGTAATCTGCGAATACTAAAAAATATGAAGGAGAAAGGATGACAGTCACCAGGAATCTAAATGATAATTGTCTTACTCTGTGCTCCAATTTAGAGGGCCCTGGGATGCTCTAAAGATGGCTATAGTGATGTGCAGGTGCTTGAGGGGTGTCTCTTTATAGATATGGCTACTTACGTTTATAACTTCGGCAACACCATTTGATGAGCGATGTCATGATATCACGCCCTGGAGTTT